GTCAGAAGGACAGGATCTGATACTACACCGAGAAACTCAATAAGACACCTAAAAAATCGGTAAAATGGAATCAAAGAGAATTCTTCCTGAAAAAAGCTATAAGGATAGGACACCCAAGAAATAAGAGGGTTTTGATCACCAGGAAGAACCAAGTAGTTTCTCCATGGAAAATTGGCAGTCGTGTGCATCATTGTACTGATATTCATATTGATTGGAAAAGTCATTGGGTTCAAGTGAAATATGGAACGATCTCAACAGTTGGCATCGACATTGAAATCAGTGAGATTGTTGGTGCAGGTACATGGAAAGAGAATTTACATAACATCTTACGCCTCTGTGATTGGAAAAGGATTATGGAGAAATTTGAAATTAAAATTTCAAGATGTCAATGAAGCCTGAACTCTTAATGAATGAATCTAATACTATGCAAAGTCACGTTGTCTGATTTGCCAATTTATTTTTATTCCTCATAAAGACTCCGAATATCAAAGAAGATCAGATCAACAAATGATGCAAGATTCCTTATAAATTTGAGTGCAAAGGCAGAGGCTGGCTATAATCTAAGGGCGAGTATGTAAACACAAACAGAATGAAGGCCGCAACATTATCAAGGTCAGAGAATTCAATTTCGCATTATCTCACATGGAGACTTGGAAGAAAGGAATACATGCGACAAAGAAACATATAGGTACAATAATATGTTCCCTTTTTCTCAAAAGATAGGTGGTATTGGGCTCTGATGCTAAATAAACATTTTAATTTACTTTTCAAGAGAGCATTTGAAAAACTATTGTGCCAATGGTAGATCCTTACGACCACTAGCACAATGAGATAGGATCATTGCTCAAGATTTAGAACAAATCTTGAAAATGAAGAGATTAAAGATAGAAAACATTTTCAACCCACTTTTTAAATCATCACGATGAAGTGCAAAGGAGTCACAAGGAGAAGCCAAATCAGCTTATCATATTACTGCAGATGAAAGCATCAATCAATGACATGTTAGGGCTTTACATATGTGCCTTGATTCTAGGGCTCGCCGTCTGCATTGAAATGTGAGAATATTAAACAGCAGCACTTCTCGAAGGCATTGCATTATGTCCAATCGGTTCTTCGTGTGGATAGCATTAGCATGTATTTGGGTGTATATGGAGAGGAATCATTCCATCACTAGTTTCTATAGTACACACTCACATTGGAGATTCAGCAGAGGTTCATTTCCACATAACAAGTTAAGACGACACAACCTCGACATATTCACAGAGAAAATAGAGATTAAGTTTTCAGAGGTTAGGAAAGCAATGGTCCATTGGCAAGGAACTAAGGGACAAGGCCCCTCTAACCTCAAATAATTATACAGAAAATAAAATATCATGTGTATATGAACATAATCCTTGTATGAATTTTTTATATCAAATAAATATATTAGATTATAATAAATTATTTATTTCCTATGTTTTAAAAAAATGACATCATATTATTATCTAAAAATATCTAATATAAATTAATATATAGTCAGCTGAACATGTTCCCAAAGACGAATATCTGCTATTGACAATTTAAATACTATGAAGGATAGACTCCTGACGTTTTGAAGTATCCTAAACGGCATTGCAAAGTATGGTGGCTTATCCTCCAAGCAACCCTCACGGTTAGATGGGATAAGAGCAACACAACTCCTCAGTTAAACAGTAAAAGCTTTCAACATAAAGGGTATTCGAATTTTTTGGGATCACAGAAAGAGTGGACAAGATTCCTTTAAAGTGAGGAAGAAAAGAATCTTATAAATATGGGTGCCTCAGAAAAGAACGCTATAGGTAGACTCCTCATTTTTCAAACATTGCACACTAACTCCTCATTCAAGGTGGATAAAATGAGTCAACTATTCCAAATTAATGGACCCACCCTTGACAACTTGGGCTGGCGATCTGTGCTAACTCAAAACACTCTTTAAAAAATGTACGAACTTTTAAAAATCAATTATGCAAGTCTATCTGTCCTGAAGAGGTATCACAGATTGGAACTGTCACAAATAAGCGTTCTCATACTTAGTGAAATTCAAGTCTCATATGATAAAGTATGCTCAGACATTGTGAAGAAAAAAAATAAATGTTTTAAAATACATAGAGAAAAAGTTTTTTAAGATGGCTATAATTATCATGCAGATATATCTTTGTTTCAGAAACAGGATATAAGATAAACTTCAATTGAGTGGTGAAGCCATCTAGACAAATGACAACCAGAGCTGAAGCAGAAGGAAAAGAAACTCTGTTGGTGTCTAAGGGAACAGATAGTCCTAGCTGCCTTAATAACGTAAATTTAACCGCCGGATTAAATCCATAAAAATCTCAGTTGTAGTTTTGCTCCCATACAACTAAATGCCTCATATGACGACACAATTGCATCAGCAGTTTCCTTCCTTCCCATCCATGGAACACTCGTGATGACCTCACCAGTGGCAGGATTTAGGACCTACAATAACAAAGACTTCATAAGTAAGATCAGCAGATTCCAGATCTTCAGCAATATATTTTTCTTTTTGAATTAGTTTCAGTATGCTTTAGCGATTTCAAGCCAGATATAACTGGTTATGAGCAATATGATACACCTTGAGAACAAATATATGGTTCACTCATTTAAAGTAAACCTTCAGATGGAACCTGTCAGCTCGTTCAATCTTTTCTAATGTAAATAAGGACGCTAAGGAACCTGAACAGTCTTCCCATCGTAAGCGTCCAGCCATTTTCCTCCGATAAGCCCCTGAGATTTCAGAAGCCCCAGCTCCTTCAGTCGAGCAATTGCGGCTTGAGTGTCCATACTGATCTGCCAAGTATTATCAAAAAGAAAAACTAAAGCTCAGTAGCAGAAGATGGCACTTCAAGGAATGAGAACACTGCCAGCCCCAGAAACTCAGCGTTGTACACGGTGGGAGTGTAGCTTCCTGAGTGCGCTCCGACAGTCAAGATGTTGTGCGTATGCTTCTGAAATATCCCAACGAAATCGGAGGGAGAGAGAGAGAGAGAGAGAGGATAACCTTGAGACGAGGAAGACGATGTCGATCCTTCTCCGACGTCGCAAGTGAGTGAAGAACGATAGCAGAGTAGCTGCTACGTGGAGGCCACCCAGAATGTGAGAGTGAGCAAGATAAGGTAGAGGGAGACTGTGAGAGAGTGAGTGGGAGGATTAGAGAGTGTGTCAGGGAGTTGGAGAGAGAGAGAGACGAGAGAGACGAGAGAGAGTGGGAGTGAGAGAGTGACAGTGACAGTGACAGTGGGAGAGTGGGAGAGTGAGAGAGTGAGAGAGTGACAGTGAGAGAGTGAGAGATTGAGAGTGCGAGAGTGAGAGTGCGAGAGTGGGAGAGAGAGAGTGAGAGAGAGAGAGTGAGAGATTGAGAGTGCGAGAGTGAGAGTGCGAGAGTGGGAGAGTGAGAGAGTGAGAGAGTGAGAGACTGAGAGACTGAGAGTGCGAGAGTGAGAGTGCAAGAGTGGGAGTGTGTGTGTGTGTGTGTGTGTGAGAGAGAGAGAGAGTATTTTTAGTACTAATCTATTTTTTTACAATAAATATTAGAGAACTTTATAGGATAAACCCACACCACGGGGCCCACTTGCCACAAAAAGCGTTCCTATAAAGTTCTTATGTAATCACATTATTATGCTATTTTTGTGTCGTCACATCATTCAAAAAAGCTTTTAAAATGTTAATAAAAATTAATATATATAATATTAAATAAATATTGCTAAAATAGAAGATTCTTACATGATTTTTTGACATGATGTGGCATGCTTAGATGATTCAAAGCCATTGTATTGGTGTATTTAGCTGCTCAGAAGGTAACCCATCAAACGAGTAACATTTGTTTACTCTTTCAATCATTCATTTTCATTTTAGATGTAAATGTTAGTTTTTTGAAAGAAACTTGAAGAATTGAGATGAAAATGAATGAATGAGCTTCTTTTCCCTCTTAAATCCTTTATAACTATTATGAGATCATCATAAAATACTTCCAAGCTATTTTTCATTAGTTTTCACTATCAATTTTAGAAACATTATGTAGCCAGCATTTTGGGAATGTAGTCAAAATAATTGAGATATTTCTCTAATTTTAACACATGATAGTAGGCTTAGTAGTTGATTATTAAAATGGTTGTGAAATAGATTAAATAAATATTGGCATGTGATCTTACACCTTTTGTGCAAGTTTATGGATCACATATGTAGTCAACTCAAGTTACAAGTGAAATTGAGTCGCTATAAAATGGGTTGATTAATGTTTCTCTCTCCTCATTATTCCTCTTAATTATCTTCTTTCCTTTTCTTTTATCCTTCTCGAGTTCCCTCTAATTACGACTTTATTCTTCCCCTCTATCTCTCATTATTTTCCCTCTATTCTTCTCTTAGCCATCTTCCTTCTCATTTCATTAGACCCTCTCTTTTAATACTTCTTTCCTTTAATTCATAATAAAACTCTAGAATTGATGTAAGTTTAAATTAAATAATTCCCACAACATATTATTTCATCTCCTTGTGTTTGACTTGGAACTCACAATTATACAAAGAATTAATTAACGTTTAAATTTTAAAATTAATATAAAGTGAACATTTAATCTTAACGAAGAATACTCATAAATGACTACTAGCTAGGGTGCTTCTTTGTACTTGGCTCATATGCCTCTATTTGTGTAAGCCTTCTTGTAAAGTTTGAGCTTGAGTGTTGATAAGTCTTCATTATCATGAGTTAATAATTAGTAAATAATATAGTTTTAGCCTTAACTCATGATAAATAGACTTATATTTGTGTTAAAGAATGATTTTTAGTTTTCAATTGATTAACGTGAATTTTTGGGTAATTATGTGATTTTTACAGTCTTACTTTTGAGATAAATGAAGAATAAGAAATATAAAAAAATATATTGTAAAATGAGGGGGGACCCGCTGGGCCCCCAAGCGGGTCGGAAGTGTAGCCGAGGAGTAGCCATGAGTAGGGGCTCGAGCGGCTTAGCTTAGACCGATAGGAGCACGTGTGTGCCACTCCCCTTCCACGTCACTGGTGGCCAGCCGGCTGTGGGGCAAGGAGTTGTCGTACACGCGAGAGAAGGGACTTTGCTTGCAAAGTTAATATTACTATATATTCGCCCAAAAAATCGGCGCACAACCAATGTGGGACTAAACCTGCGTCACACCTTCTTCACAGGCAAGCGACCGACGCGGGTTTGAATCCTTCTAGAGTCAAAATTCATATATTTTTATTTGATTATCGTGACTTTCCTGTAGATCGCCGGTGAAGGAATAAGCCGGGAGACCAGTCGCCACCTCTTGAGAGTGTACCAGATGCGATGAAGAGCTTCCTCTTGCTGCGCGGACCTAAGGATGAAACTCCCTGACACGTGCCCCACCTCCATCTAGTGCCTCTCTGTTGGGTGACAGCCGCCGGAGAGTCGCAAAGTTGCCGTTTTTCTACTCCACCGGGTGACAGCCACTGGAGACGATTCGACGACCCACTTCATTGATCTCTAGACTTTGCGAGAAGATCTAGAGATTGCCCACGTCGTCTTTGTCCAAGGAGAGCCTTTGAGGCCGTAGACGCTACACAACGATCCTCCCGAATGCTCAGGATTCTAGTGCATCGCCGACACATCGCCGTTGCGACGCCGAAACTCTGTTTTCCTGCTTTCAATTTAATTTACGCTTCATTTAGTGATACTTTGTGTAATTTTAATTTACCAAACTATACTTTGTTCAATTACGATTCTTCCGGCTTTTACATATCTTGATTTGATTAATTCAGTCATCTATAATCGCCTATGTAAGAATCACGTTTGCCGAGTGCTGATGTCATCCTGACGTCCGCACCCTTATTTCCTTTTTTTCGTGAATTTTAAATATATTTCCTTTTTATTTCCTAGTATAAAATTTGTAAGAAAATCATACTCATTGAGAAAAATTCTGAATAATTACCAGGTATTATATTACATCCCTATGATCAAGCTGAAAAATTACCACTATTTTTGGAATTTTTATTGAATTATAATTGATATATTTATTTAGAAATACTTCTAAATATCTGAAAATTCATATTTTCTAGTTTTATAAATTTTATATTTGCATGATTTAATATACAACGACTGAGTCACGTCAAGTGTTGACCCAAAATAAGATAATGAACAAATCCCAAAGCCATGTTTACTTTGTCAAAAAACACAATAGGTTCCAAGGGTTCATTGATTAGTAAACCTATGATGCTAGTAAGATCAAGGTCTCTTTCTCTTTCCCTTCTCTTATTTTCTCTTTATTTTCTCTCTCTCTTTCTTTCTTATTTTCTCTCTCTATCTCCCTCTATCTCTCTCATAGAAACAAGCTCGCCTAGTATAAACATATTAAAATTATCATATATGAATGACCTGATCTATCATTTATGGGTATCTCTTATTTAATAGTAGCACTATGTTTTATTTATTATATATTTCTTCTATAATAAATGGGGGATGAAATTTGAGAGTATCTGACGTGACTTAGTTGTTGTATAATAAATCATGTAAATTTAAAATTTTTAAAACTAAAAAATACTAATTATTATATATTTAAAAGAATTTGTGAAAAATATATTAATTATAATTCAATAAAAAATAAAAATAGTAATAATTTTCTAAGTTGATCATAGGGATGTAATATAATATTGGCTCATATTTCAGATTTTTTCACAAAAAATATAATTTCTTAATAAATTTTAGATTAAGAAATTAAAATAAAATATATTTAAAATTTACAAAAAAGGATAATCAAGGTGTGACATCAAGATGACATTAGTGCCTGATGAATATGAATTAGGTGGAAACAAAGTTCCACTCAGTAATTCTTACATAAGTGATCACAAATGATTTAATTAGTAAAATTAAGATTTATAAAAGCTAAAAAAGTCATAATTAAATGAAGAAGATTTTAAAATTACACAGTATTACTAAATTAAGTGAAAATTAAGTTGAAAGTAGGAAAGGTAGAGTTCTTACCTCACAACAATGATTGTCAAAATTCTGTATGTTTGGGAGGATCATTGAACGATGTCTACAACCTCTAAGGCTCTTTTTAAACATAGACGACATAAACATTTGTTGGATCTTGTTTCAAAGTCTAGAAAATGATGACGAAAGTTAAACTAGTTAAAAAATAGTAAAATAAAGTATTGACATCACGATAGTGATGCGTCGATAATGTGTTAGAATCTTGAGCATTCAAGAAAATCATCATATAGTCTTCATGACCTCAAAAGCTCTCTTTAGACAATGACAACATGAAAAATCTCTAAATCTTCTTATAAAGTCTAGAAATCAATGAAGTGGATTGTCAAATTATCTTCGATGATAGTCACTCGATGGAGTGAAAAAAATGATGACTTTGTAGATATCTGACAATTATCACTTGACGAAGATAAACTAGATGGAGGTAAAATACATCTTAAAGAGCTTCATCTTTAGATCCATGTAGTACAAAGAGACTCTTCATCGCAATTGATATGTTCTTAGGAGGTGGTGACTCATCTCTTAGTAGATCATCTTCTTATCGATGATGGCTTGTTTGTTAATCAATTAAAAATAATTTACTCGATAGATTTATGATTCTTTTATTATAAATCGTTCATCAATTTTAGTAATGATACTTCACAAATAATGTTGACAAAATATTTACCAATAATTGAGTGATATTCATTGGTCACCCACCTATATGAGAGAGAGTGAAATAAGTACATTAATACTTTTAAAGTTATGTCATTGTGGTACCTTCTTCTAATAAATAAGAGGTATCTGAGATACAAAAATCATTAAGACATTCTAAAGAAAGTGTGACTACCAATTTAGTCTGACATCGGTTATATGTCAAATTTTGAGTGAATATATAATAATATGAGATTTAAAAAGTAATGAGTCATTCTCTCGTGTGTGTACAACCACTCATTGCCCCATGCTTGGTTGGCCACTAGTGATGTGGAACGAGAATGAGCACACGTGCCCCCTATCAGTCCATCCTTAGCCGTTTGAGCTCTTGCTAATAGCTCCATCAGATTGTGCTTTTGACCTACTTGTAAGCCTAATTGGCTGGTGGGTTCCTCCTTTTTTTTATCTTTTTATTTTCTTTTATTTTCATTTATTTATCTTAAAAATATGATTATAAAAATTATATAAATTCACATAAAGTTATGTAATTAGCCAAAAAATTACATTAATGGACTAAAAACTACTTTTCACAATTTAACATAAATATGAGTTTATTTATTATGAGTTAAAGTAAAAACTATATTATTTATTAATTATTAACTCATGATAATGAAGATTTATCAATATCAAAAGCTAAAGGAACTAAAAAAAGTAATGATTTCTTAAAGTAAAAAGAAGATACATAAAGAAAGTGGAGCACCATTGAAATATTTATAGATTATTTAAATATCACAAAAGTGACATAAGAATAGAAGCTCAACATTTAGAGGAACCTCTAAGCTTGATGAAAGAGAATGGGAAAGCAAGAAGAACATACAAGAATAGTGGCACTTGAAATGCCTCTTAAGTCCCTCAAAAGAGGAGGAATGACTTTCAAAAAAGAAGTACCTCAAGAGGGAGAGTTGATTGGCACACCATCATAATCAACCTCCTGTTTTCTCAACTAGAGAAATTCATTCAGGAATCTATCAAGAGATTCAAGATAAGAAGGATATCCCTACAATAATTTACCACAATGGGCCTAGAACAATCATGAGAGAGATCTAGAGTGGTCATGGTGACAAAGTAGTGAACTACGCAAGTTTTATTAAAGGGAACTCAATAAACCATTCCAATATACAAGTTATCACAATTATCTCAATTTTTTTTACTAACGATTCTCGATCCATGTTTATTAATTATATAGCATATTAGTTAGCAATATCATGATTCTCATATACTAATGAAAACCCCACTTGAGACATGTATGGTATTACTTAATGATATGTATTAAAATCCCATTTCATCACATTTATTATCCAAGTGCTATGTAGCAAGCAATAATGGGCTTGTTCCTCACTACATGATTCCTACATAATAAATGTGATGAAGTGGGATTTTATTGCATGTAGTTGATTAATACCATGTATAGTTAATTAAGATGATAGCATCCAATCGTTCACAAAAAATAATTTTAAACATGAAGCCTCTATACTCATTTCATTTCTTTGTTAATGACAACTTTTGATCCATGTTTATTACTTATACGGCATGGTAGTTAGTAATATCATGATTTCTCACAATAATTAACTATATGCAGTAAGATGCCATTTCATCACATTTATTATTCAAGAATTATGTAACAAGTGACAAAGTGTAAATGACCAATTCAAGAAACATGTATTGTATCAATTAACTATATGTAATAAGATGTGATGAAATGGCATTTCATTGTGTATAGTTAATTGATACCATACATGTTTCTTGAGTTGGTTGTTCATACACTCAATGTAGATGATAGCGTTCAGTCCTTTACAAAAAATAATTTTAAATTGAGGACTATAAGAACACGTTATCATATTTATGTCAGGCTTATGATATAAGATGGTGGTGCATGCAATTGCAGGAGAAAGAAGTGTCAAATCCAGACGCAAGGGATAGAAAGCTGGATTTATATTTTGACAGTACAGATTTAGAGTGGTGCACCCTGGTTACCGGTCACCGGTGGGCATGAGTAAAGTTACATAAATATAATGTGAGCCATGCGTGAAGAGAGAGAGAAGAGAGAAGAGAGAAAAGAGAGGAGTAGAGAGAAAAGATAGGAAGAGAGAAGAGAGAGAAAGAGTAGAGAGAGAAGATAAGAAGAGAGAAGAGAGAGAGAGAGTAGAGTGAGAAGATATGAAGAGAGAGAAAGAGTAGAGAGAGAAGACAAAAGAGAGAAGAGAGAGAGACAGATTAGAGAGAGAAGATAGGAAGAGAGTAGAGAGAATAGAGAGAAGATAGGAAGAAAGAAGAGAGAGAAGAGAGCAGAGAGAGAGGAAGAGTAGAGAGAAGATAGGAGAGAGAGGAAGAGTAGGGAGAGAAGAGTAGAGAGTAGAGAGAAGAGAGAGAATAGTGACATAAGAATAGAGCGAGAAGATAAGAAGAGAGAAGAGAGAGAGAGTAGAGCGAGAAGATAAGAAGAGAGAAGAGAGAGAGAGAGTAGAGTGAGAAGATATGAAGAGAGAGAAAGAGTAGAGAGAGAAGACGAAAGAGAGAAGAGAGAGAGACAGATTAGAGAGAGAAGATAGGAAGAGAGTAGAGAGAATAGAGAGAAGATAGGAAGAAAGAAGAGAGAGAAGAGAGCAGAGAGAGAGGAAGAGTAGAGAGAAGATAGGAGAGAGAGGAAGAGTAGGGAGAGAAGAGTAGAGAGTAGAGAGAAGAGAGAGAATAGTGACATAAGAATAGAGCGAGAAGATAAGAAGAGAGAAGAGAGAGAGAGTAGAGCGAGAAGATAAGAAGAGAGAAGAGAGAGAGAGAGAGTAGAGTGAGAAGATATGAAGAGAGAGAAAGAGTAGAGAGAGAAGACGAAAGAGAGAAGAGAGAGAGACAGATTAGAGAGAGAAGATAGGAAGAGAGTAGAGAGAATAGAGAGAAGATAGGAAGACAGAAGAGAGAGAAGAGAGCAGAGAGAGAGGAAGAGTAGAGAGAAGAGAGGAGAGAGAGGAAGAGTAGGGAGAGAAGAGTAGAGAGTAGAGAGAAGAGAGAGAATAGAGGAGAGGGAGGAAGAGTAGAGAAGAGAGAGAATAGAGAGAGGTGAGAGTAGAGAGAGGAGAGAATAAGGAGAAGAAAGGAGAGAGAGAATAGAGGAGAGGGAGGAAGAGTGGAGAGAGGATAGAGAGAGAGAAGCGAGGAGAGAGAGAGTGAAGGGAGAAGAGAGAGAGGGACAAGAGAGGAGAGAGAGAAGAGTGAAGGGAGAAGAGAGAGAGGAGAGAGAAGAGAGTAGAGAGAAGAGAGAGAGAGAGAGAAGGGAGGATAGAGAGGAAGAGTAGAGAGAGAAGAGTGAAGGGAGAAGAGAGAGAGGAGAGAGAAAAAGAGAGAGAGAGAGAGAGAGAGAGGTCACCGGTGCGCATGAATAAAATCAAATAAATATAATGCGAGTAATGCGTGAAGCAAAGGATTTACGGGGCGGGCCGGGCCGGCGTCACGATGGCCCGCTACAACCCGCTTTCTTGTTTCCCATGAACGAGCCTGGGCCAAGTGGGCCTCCAGAGTCCACACGGACCATGGACTCGACCTAAACTTGGGTCCAAATAATATCCCATTAAAGGGTTCCTCCCTTCAGAATCTCAAGTAACGTGTGGCAAGTGGGTCCCGCAAAGTGGGGCCCATTCTAATATCCGAGCTGGCGGTCAACGTAGAGTTCACCTGCGCAAGCTGAGTTTCGGGTTTATCCTTAAGAGCTGCTTCGAAAACAAAATGGATTAATACCGAAAATACGCTTCTCTCTCCCCTCTCTCTCTCTCTACGTGACATTCTATTCGGCGTCCACGCAGCAGCTACCCATCTGCTCTCGTTTCACTCTCACTTGCGACGTCGGGGAAGGATCGAGATGGCGATGCACCGCCTTGGTCTACATTTCCGGAGCTTCTGCTACCGATCCCCCTCAACTTGGCTTCCTCATCGCAAGGTTAGCCTCTCTCGCTCTCTCTCTCGCCCGGAACTGGGTGAGATTTGGCTAATCCTGGAATTGCGGAAGTCTATGCACAATCTCTTGGCTACCAGAGCTCGCTCAGGAATCTACACTGCTACCCAGTACAATGCTGAGTTTATTGGACGGGGTGATTCTTATTCCTTGTAGTGCCATCTTCTGCTACCGAGCTTTAATTTTCCTTTTTGGTAATCTTGGGCAGATGAGTATGGAGCCTCAAGCCGCAATTACTCGTCTGAAGGAGCTGGGGCTTCTGAGGTCTCAGGGGCTTATCGGAGGAAAATGGTTAGACGCTTACGATGGCAAGACGGTTCAGGTTCCTTAGCGTCCTTTTTTACATTACAAAAGATTGAATAACTGACATGTTTCATCTTCCTATCTGTCCGTGTTCCATCTGAACGTTTACTGTAAATGAGTGAACCAAATCGTTGTTCTCAAGATGCATCATATTGCTCATAAGCAATTATATCTGGCTTGAAATCGTTAAAGCATACTGAAACTAATTCAAAGAGAAAAATATATCGATGAAGATGTGTAATACGTGGATCTTACTTATGTAAGTCATTGTGATTGTAGGTCCAAAATCCTGCCACTGGTGAGGTCATCACAAGTGTTCCATGCATGGGCAGGAGGGAAACTACTGATGCAATTACATCGTCATATGATGCATTTAGTTGTATGGGAGCTAAACTACGACTGAAATTTTTATCAATTTAGTCCGATAGTTAAGTTTACATTATTAAGGCAGCTAGGAATATCTGCTCCATTAGACACCAACAGATACTTTATTTTCCTTCTGCTTCAGCGATGGTTGTCATTTGTCTAAATGGCTTGACCACTCAATTCAATTTTATCTTATAACATATCTTTTTCTGAATCAAATACGTATCTGCATGATAATTATCATAGAAACTTCTGCTCTATATATTTTAAAACATGTATTTTTTTCTTCACAATGTCTGAACATAGTTTATTATATGAAATTTGAATTGGACTGACTAGCATGAGAAGGACTATTTGTGACAGCTCTAACCTGTGATATCTTTTTTGGACCGATAGGCTTGCATAATTGAAGTTTAGGATTGGTATATTTTTTAAAGAGTGTTTTGAGTTTGAACAGAATCAAGTCAGCCCATGGTGCCTGGATGATTAGTTAGTCTGTAAGGTTATGAAAATTGAGGGTAGTCTACCTATCTCTTTATTTTTAAAGGCACCCATAATTATTATTATATATTTTTCTTCCTCAATTTAAAGGAATCTTATCCACTCTTTCTATGATCCCAGAAGGGTTGAATACCCTTTATGTTGAAACATTTAAATTTTTAGCTGAGGAATTGTTTCTTGTATCCCATTCGACCATGAGGCTTCCATGGAGGATTAGCCACCATACTTTGCAATGCTCTTTTGGATGCTTTAAAACTTCAGGACTCTATCCCTCATATTATTTTAGTTGTCAAGAACGAAGTAGCCCGAATAGCAGATATTTGTATCTGGGAACATGATCAGGTTATTATATATTAGTTTATATTGGATATTTTTAAATAATAGCATAATGTTACAGCTTTAAATATAAAATAAAGAATATAGTATTTGCCGTATTTCCTGTTAAGTATTATGATAATATACACATCATATTTTATTTGCTGTATATAATCATTTGAGCTTAGAGTTTCCTTGTCACTTAGCTGGTTCACAATGGACCATTGCTTCTAATCTTTGAAGAGTTTATCTCCATTTTGCTCCTTCATTATGTCAAGGTTGTGTCATCTTAACATGTTATGTGGAAATGAACGTACACTGAATCTCCCTCAACACTGTGCACATTGAAATAAATTGTCAAATGGTTCCTCTCCATATAGACCAACATAAATGCTAATGCTATCCACGCAAAGAACTGAGTGGACGTATTGTAAAGCTTCTGAGAAGTGCTGCACTGTAATATTCTCAGATTTCCATGCAGATGGGGAGCCCTAGAATTAAGGCATCACATATTACCTGATGTCTTCATCGGCAGTAACATAATAAGCTGATTTAACTTCTTTTTAACTATTTCCTTCTCCTTGAGACTCCTTTGTACTTCATGATAATGATATAAAAAGTTGGTTGAAAATGTTTTATTTGTTTAATCTCTTCGTTTTCAAAGTTTCTTCTAAATCTTACGCAATAATCTCATCACGTTGTGCTAGTGGTTGTAAGGATCTACCATTGCCACGATAGTTTCGAATCTTCTCTTGAAAAGGAAATTTAATTCTATATCTACCGTCAGAATCCAATTCAAATTTTCTTTCGAGAAAAAGGGAATATATTACTGTACCAATATATTTCCATGTCGCATGTATTCTTATCTTCCCAATCTCCATATCAGACAATGCGAAATTGAATTCTTGAACCTTGATAATGTTCCTGCCTTCATTCTCTTTGTGTTTACATACTCGCTCTTAGATTATAGCCAACCTCTGCCTTTGCACTCAATTTCAAAGACTCTTGCATCTTTTTTTAATCTTCTTTGATATTCGGAGTCTTTAAGAGGAATTTTAATCAATTGGCAAATCAGACAACGTGACTTTGCATAGTATTAGATTCATTCATTTAGAGTTCAGGCTTCATTGACATCTTGTCTCCATAATCCTTTTCCAATCACGGAGGCATAAGGCGTTATGTAAATTCTCTCTCCGTGTACCTGCACCAACGACCTCACTGATTTCAATGTCGAGGCCAACTGTCGAGATCGTTTCATATTTCACCTTGAACCCAATGACTTTTCCAATCAATATGAATATCAGTTCAATGATGCACGCGACTGCCAATTTTCCATGGAAAAACTACTTGGTTCTTCTAGGTGAATAAATCCCTCATATTGCTTGGGTGTCCTATCCTTATATCTTTTTTCAGGAAGAGTTCTCTTTGATTCCATTTTACCAATTTCTTAGCTGTCTTATCGATTTTCTGTGTAGTATCAGATCCTGTCCTTCTGACGAATTAGATTGTTTCCTTTTCTCATCTAAGGACTCTCTAATGAAGACATGGCACCCAGTATTATATCCACTATTGGTTTTCAAAATGTAGGCTCATGATCAGGTACTGATCTAAATCTGACTTCTGTACTTACAAGATGATCTCATTCAATTTTAAAGAATAAATATTTTCATTTAAGTTAGACCAAGCGTGTGTTGTGTTTTAAGTGTGGATATCTGATACTGCCACCATAACTATCAAGTTTGAGCAGTTTTCCTTCATATATGTTCCGGCCTTCCATTAACCTCCAGTGAATCCCTTTACAATTCCTACATCTCCTATCTTGTTTAATGAGCTGTAGAAACTGGAGAAGTTCAACAAAAACTCATCACATGGGTTCTTAAATTTTTGGGAAAGAAAATAACTCCCTACCGATTTAAAGTCCATCTCCTTCATCAAGAATTCATGCCACATGATCATATTTCTCCTGTTGTGCTGAAGCCACGCTCTTGTCTGGTGGGCTATGCTATCAGCACACACTTTTTAGATCGGATGCTTTATCTTTTTATTTATGCGAACTCAAGTACGTCTCATCAATTTTTTAATATTGTCTAAATTAAAGGCAACTGTTATAGTTTTCTTACATTATTTTAATTTTGCGCTCTCATTTCTACTTTTCAGCTGATTTTTAGGTGTCTATTGGTAGTTTCCCAAAGTTATCTTAGGACGATTATCGAATTCCTTTTTCTTTTTCAGCTTGGAGCAAACTCACTGCTACTGAAAGGAGCAAGTACCTGAGAAAATGGTTTGCATGATTTTGGTCCTTCAGTTGACTTAGTTAAGAATTCATCAATGTAAATGCATATCTAAATAATTGCATATCTAAATAATTGCATAATTGTGACGATGAAGAAAACTAGAATTTCATTTAAATAACTTGCTGTGATTGGTAAACTGACTATTAAAATAGGTGGAGTCATTGGGTGGTTTTTCTGTTGATATTTAAACTGAAGAGCCAATTTCCCTTTGCGAAAATAGACGTTGGCAAAAGTCCTTTTGTAGAGCGCATTGCTTGGAGTAATATTCTTTCATTCATCTTTGTCCTTTGTAATTGTGAGCGGTGTTTGAATCGTTGATGCAATCGCCTTTCAAAACATGTACGTTTTCATTTTTGTCAATGCATCTTCTTAGAAGAAAAATTCTCAGAAATGATGAAGGAATTGATGTGTTGACAACTGAGCTCGTTTTGTACATGCGGATAATGAATTCGATTATTCACTGACAATTATCTCCATTTTAGTGTTTTTTTTATTTCAATTCCACTGCTTTATCCTCTCTATCCCTCTACTATGTTCACTGCACATTAACATGTTTTAATGATGTACTATGTCTTTCTCTGTTTATTTCTTAAATCATAGCTGAGTGTCTTACAGTCATACTTCTGTAAAAAAGATGTTGTCTCATCCATCGACTTTAGCACTTCATATTCCTGAAACGAGGTGAATCAGAGAATAAAATGAGAATAGACAACTCCTTGGCATTCTAGCCTTCCATTCATGCTCTCTCTGGAAGAAATTTTAGTATTGCTTCTTTTGCTGTGGATCACGAATATCTCAGGTTGTTAAATTCCATGCACGGTTGATGTAAATTTCCCAGGTTTCGTTTATTTCAAAATTATTAATATTTTCAGGGCTATATCTTGGTGAGTACAACACAAACTTATTAGGCTTGTTGCTGAGTTTCTTTCTTGTTTCAGTTGTTTAAGCAATCCTTTTCCTGACCCTTCTGTAACCTAAATGGAGATATGGATTAATTGATGTATGATTCTATCTTTCCAACGCTTTGTGAAGGTACGACTTAATTATTGCCCACAAGGAAGATCTTGCTTTTCTGATAACTTTAGAGCAAGGAAAACCTCTGAAGGAGGCATTGGGTGAGGTATCGGAAACTTCTTTCCTCTAATTCTTTATGTTGTCTTTGCCGTTTGTTTTACTTGGATAATGTAAATTGCCATTCAAAGACTAAAAGGTTCTATAAATCATTTAATAGGTTATATATGGTGCAAACTTCATTGAGTTTTATGCGGAAGAGGCAAAGCGTGTATATGGTGATATAATTCCTCCAACGTTAGGTGATCGCCGGCTGTTTGTTTTGAAACAGGTACGGGCATAATCCCCTGTTGAATTTTTTTTGAAACCATAATTTTCTGTTAATTTACTTATCAATTAACTCTAATCTCGTATTCCGATTATTTATGGCATTTTTTAGTGATTTTGTACCAACTTGATAATTGTTTTGGACTGAAAAATTCAATGTTTTGAAGGTTCAAAAACCTAAAAACTGAGTTTTTTCTGTCAGGAAAATGAACTGCTTTGTGCTTGAACTTCTTGATGACTCATTTTATCCGTAATATGCAATAGCCCTAGTGAAGCTTGGCTCTTTGGCGGTCGGTTTTCTACTTTTTACTCTGGAATTATGTACAAACTGTCACTAAGCGGTTCATTTTCTTGTTCCTCTCTTTTTTGCAGCCTGTCGGTGTCGTTGGTGCAATAACCCCTTGGAATTTTCCTCTGGCCATGATTACTCGAAAGGTCACATCTTCCTTCTTAGCTTGACACCTGCATAGCGAATATGGTACCTTCATCTTCTTTCTCAATGTCAGCATAAATTCCAAAATACATCAGGTTGGACCTGCTCTTGCTTGTGGTTGCACAGCTGTGATTAAACCATCAGAGTTTACACCTTTGACGGCTTTGGCAGCAGCTGAACTCGCTCTTCAAGCTGGAATACCACCTGTAAGTTCAATGGTTTTTGGTCAATTTTAGCGAGTTATTATAGCAGCTCAGTATTTTTTTCTACTAACCCATTAGATCTAAGTTCCAACTGATCAATGGTTATTCTAGTATTTTTCTAATTATCCATATTTTTATTGTGAGAGTGATATCCTTGGGGGATGCTTTCGTCATGATACCACGGAATGTAGTTTTTCTTTTAAGTGGATAGTTCCACTGTCTTACTCATACAGAAAGTTAATCAAGGTGATGTGCAAATGGAATCTCAGTGTGCCTACAAGATCTCCCTTTTCCTAACAAGTTGTACATTCTTTATATGGCAAAGTCAGTTTAAATGCTATAAACAGTGTGCATCCAATGCAAAGTCCTAGTTTGTCTATTGGTAACTACATTCACAAATGAACCGCAGAAACCTTCCAAGCTTTTACACTTGTTTTTCGAGCCTGTGTGTCATTCCCAAATGAACACGCCACATAATATATGGCTATTAATGCCATCTTGGATTCGATAGGGAGTGGCCCATGTGAAAAATGAAGAGGGTCTAAAATTATTGCTAGAGGAAGAACTTTTCCAGTTAGTGATGTAAAATATGAGTAAGAGGAGAAAATATGCCAGAGAACGAAGCTATTAAATGGGTTGTTCTACTCCAATGACAAGATGACAAGGCAAGCTTAACCAACAAGACAGTAGACGAGCTTGCACAAGGATATGTAGAAGAGAGACTTGGAGGATAGATGAGAAAGAGCTTTGGTCTCAGAGGCTTATTATGAACGTACTTTAGTTGTCTCCATGAGATGTACAGGTTGAAGAAAAATTCGTGCCGGTTGCTAGTCACAGGGTTGTTAACATAATATGCACTAGAGATCAATGAAGTGTTTGTGTTATATTACAAAATAAACTTCACTTTCAATGGATTCTTTGCTTTAAAAATAAGGTAACAGAAAAGTTTTCTTCTCTTCCATTTCGGTCAAGACATTAGTAAACTTTTCTCAATATCTGCCAATACTTTTCATTTTTTCTCCTTTTTATGAATTGTTATTAGAGATTAACTCAAGCACAGTTTCCAGTTAGATGAGATGAAACTGCTCTCTACTAGTGTTCTACTATGATTTCACTCACCCAGTCTAATCTTGTGTTTCCATTTTTTATTCGCACGATATTGGAGTCCTCTTCTTTTAATCCCTCCTTTCTTGATCTGTAATGGAGGAGTTACAGAAGTATTTCGTTTTCCTCCATCTTGTGGACCATCCGGTGTCTCAGTCCAGATACCTTCTCTAAGCTTTGACTTCTCTAAGCTTTGAAAAGGCTTCCTCTATTCCCATCCTAACATCACAAGACTTATTTTCCAGACGCTTTTGAAGATGAATCTTTTCCTGCATCTCTAAACTTTATGTTATGGTGACAGTCTTCCATCTCGTAAAGAAGTCTCTCACATCTGAATAAACCTGTCTTGCAATTTTTGGTTTTCTGTCCCCTTGGAGTTCATAACTTTTCTCAATTCCCATTTTTCCGTGTCGAATCTCCTTCCATGACCTTAGTACTGTATGATCTCAAAGCTTCACTGTCAGGGGTGATTGTATGTTGCTTATTAGAGCTCTCATTTTCTAAAGTGTTCGCTATTCTTTTTAGGTATATTTTTTCCTCCTCGGTTAAAGTGTTAATCACCTTTCTTTCTTAGTGAATTTTATTACTTTGTTCCATTGAGCCTATTCATTTTATGTTTCCAAACTGTTTTCACCTTCATCAAAACTAAGCATCTTCATAAAGATTTTCTTGCCCAAGAAGATTTCTGTTGCAATTATCTTTGCAAGAAAAAAATGGTCCTTACTTGCTTTTTTTAATATTATGGTGACTCAGGAATTGCATCTCATTCATGAATTTCATGGAGTTTACGCTTTCTTGCAGCCACGAGTCTATTAATTATCTTTCTTGATGCCTTGTTGTCTTTTTATTTTAGGGTGCATTAAATGTGGTCATGGGAAATGCTCCTGAAATTGGTGATACTCTACTAGAGAGTCGGCAGGTTTTCTCCAACCTTTAACCTCTTTCTTTGTTTATCCCAGGGATCATTTGACTATTTGACTTGTTTTTAATTTTTGAATAATAGGTAAGGAAGATCACATTCACAGGATCTACAAATGTTGGTAAAAAACTAATGGCAGGCGCTGCAAATACTGTTAAAAAGGTAAGAAGATTTTGGGCTGTTAAGTTCTACATTTTATTGCCACCCTTTCATGGTGTGAGTTTGTTTTGGGAGTAGGTAGTGCCACGCAATCATTGACCAAAAAGAGGATATACTAATGTGTCCATAAGCCGTCCAAAGCTCCCTAGTTACATCAGTTAAGCAGTGCACCATGATATTATGGGCCATTCTGGAAACCCTATAATCTCCAAGATAACAAATTTATCTCCTTCCTTATCACAAAAACTGAGCATGCAGTACTATTACACTCACACAAAATACCCTGAGGATGAGGAATTTTCCCTTCTACAATGATTTATTTTTCAAGCTGAAAAGGGAATATTTGTGGAAAAAAATTTCTCCAGTTTTGTTCTTCACCATTCCTATGGAGACTGCAAACAGGGTGAATGCTATTTGCAACAATATAACAGTTTATAGCACTTTCTTATTCATCAGGGGATTTTTTTTTTCACATCAAAGCATTTCCAGATTTGTGACATTTTTGGTCTCTGGATTTTTTCATGTTGTCGTAAGCTATTTCGCTTTTAAACTAATCCATAATGCGTCTGTCATTCCCTTCGAATAGACCAAACTATCATATTATTCTCAGTGAAACATGACCTGATTATCCTGACGTCAGATCAATCATAATTTCATGTGGTTTCCTAAGTCACCGTTTCTTATTTTATGATAACATTCTAGTGGACGAAATGAATTCAGCAAGCCAGATTTCTACAAGGAAGACTATTATCACATTATTTCGCACATTTTAATTTAAAAAGAAAAACTTGTTATCTTTTGCCTTTTGGTATACTTTGGATAATTCGTTTAGGGTGTATCCCACTTGCTGCTGGCCTCCTTGTCTTGATGAACTGGTTATGGCTGGTGGGCAGTGGATGCCTTGTCGTTCTTATTCTTATTCTTCCTATTTTGGGCACATGGTCATCGGCTATTAGCTGGTGGACGACTTCCTCTTATCTTATCCTCTGACTTTTCTTTTGATTCTTCTGAGTCGGGCTGCCTACTGATTCATGCGCACCCATGCTCGGTCTTCCCTACTAGGTTTCTAAGAACCTATGATGGAGGTAACGAATATGTCATGTAATGAAGAAATCCAAGAGCTTTGATATCAAGTTGTCTATCATGTTTACTATTTATGGCATCTATCTACTGATTTTAGCCTCATATTAATCTTTTGGGATTTGAAACATTAGCCTTCCCATTGTCATCATTCTTGTCCACCGGAATTGCAAGAAGAATGATGTGCACATTGTGTTTTGAGATTGTGTGGTCTTTTGTTCAGATCAGCACTCTATTTCTTGTCATAAAAGGCAAGAGTATTATTATAAAGATAACCCTACTCAGCTCATTGCTAGTTGATTTTGAACTGGATGACCAAATAATTTGAAGAAAGTATTAGAGGCAAAAGTTGTTATTTAGGTGCATGTATTTATGTTATCTACATGGCAAAGTTCAGAGCTGTGAAATTTCTCCCAGTCGAATGTTATTTTGTTTAGTTATATTCTACTTGACTGACTATAACCTAAGTAGGGTTAGTCTAGCATATTCTTATTGATTGTTACCTGTTGAACTATAAGTTTCCTATTATTTTTGTCCTTTTTCTTATTGTATTTTAACTTTTATTTTATTGTATCTCTATCCTTCGACATGGTTTGGTCCGGCCCATCTTACTGGAGAACCGGCCCAGCCAAATGTAAACCCTGGGTCTGGTATAAATACCAGGCCCGATTTACCCTTAATGAATGAAATCATTTTTTTCTCCTCTCTTCTTCTCTTGATGAGAAGGCGACCTAGAATTCTTCCCACTCCAACACGGCTGAGAAACTCCCTCCTCCAGCGTACATAATTTCTTTGATATATAAATGGAAATTTTAATAAATATTTTTGTTGAGAGTCAATCAAGCCCATTAAAATATCGTACCCTGTATGGCCCCCTAACTGACTGATTAAGTCTTAGATCTACTTTGGATCCCAACCTGTAGAATTGTATCCATGTGTAAAACATTACTCTTTGGGGAACAAGAGGATATAAAAGGATTTTCTCCACGGTATGGCCTAGTGCTTTAGTGACTCATCTGCCTCTTTACTCACACCTCGGGTATTTTTCATGCGTGACTGGTGGTATGAAGGACTAACTCTGTATTGTAACAAGATCAAGTAAACATAGTTACTATAATCATCATTTGGTACTATCCTCTTTTTTAAGAAGATTGAATTATGTATGATTAACGTATCCTATATAAGATTTTATGCAGTGTATTTTTTTGTCTGGAAGTTGAAAATTTATGAATGCAAATTTTATTCTTGAGCCTTGGGATGCACTTTCTACACAGTTTTTAGTAGGGACCAAATCCTTGTTGATGCAATTTTGATGTCAATAATGTTGTGACCTTTGGTGAGTTTCATCTGTATACCGTGTTCATGGTCATGGATACATGATAATTTGATGCTGTCACGAGGCATTGTATTGATCATCTGAGAAACAGCTATTGTGGCATAACTTGTTTTTCATCCTGGATTATAGGATATTTCATTACGATGGCGACCTATTTCTAGCAGAATGTGCAACAGCCAAATGTTTTTTTAAGATAACAAATATTGTAACTGTTGTCCATACCTGTATTGCTGTGGAGGACGAATTGGGCATTGCGTAATATGCACAGGCATAAAGGTTTCTGGTATTGATTATCTAAGGGCACTTTCAAGCCCTTAATTTAGGACATATTTTGATACATTCTTGGGATATCTTTAAAAAATGCATGACACATTATACTTGGACCTCGTCCCACAAGAATGTTGATTGAGAATCTGGAAATTTACGTGTTTATGTTCAATATCTTCATAGTTAAGTTTTGGCGAATTTTTTAATGAAGGTCACCTCTTCCAGAGTTAATCTAAAATTTCTTTAAAGGACCTATTCAAAATGGCCAGGAATGGATAGCTACGACTTTTCAAGAACTAAGCTGAACTTTTTTGACTTTGGCCTTTGTACTCATCCCAGGCTTTTACCCCTGCTTTATTTGATTCCGACCTTTCGATGCACGAGTTGCATGTTAGTGTGATAGTAAGGTTACCAGGAAGCGTGTTTTGTTCCTATTCTGTGAAAGGTGGGATGATTAAATTGGATTCAAGTATCTGTATGAGCCTCTTTTTTTGAGTTGCATGAATCGTATCTAATAATTTTTTGTTCCTGTTCGTATGGATGCTATCTCAGTCCTTATTCTAAATGGTATCATAAAATATATCTTAACCTCTACCTGGTCTCTTTTTTCTTAGTTTGCACTGCCCATAACCTTTGGGCTGTCTCTACATAGTCTGTAACATTGTTCATTGAAAAAATGTTATCTTCCAGGTATCGTTGGAACTGGGTGGTAATGCACCTTGCATAGTATTTGACGATACTGATCTGGATGTGGCTGTGAAAGGCAGTGTAAGCTATTTACAGCCCTTATCAACCTACGAAACAGAGGAGCACATCCAAATTAGCTTCATTAGTTGTTTCTGTGTATTTCCATCTTATTCGCTTGAGCTTTTTATGTTATGTTTGGCCATCATGGGGGCAAACGATGCAATAGCTTCGGTTAGAGCAAAGCCCAAAATGGCATAACCAAATGATTGTTTAGCCAATGATGGATTTCGCGCCACGGAATGAATCGAAGAACTGAGGACGTTTCCAATACCGACAGACTTTACAAATAAAACCGGAAGATTGGGACTCCATTGCTGTCATTTCATATGTGTATGGTTACAATTACTTACGCTCTCAGTGTGCCTATGATGTCGCACCTGGTGGATTTTTAGCTAGTGTATATCATCTTACGAGAATACAGTATGGGGTGGATCAACCGGAGGAAGTATGTCGCGGAAATATTCCCCCATGGCACACCCTGAATATGGGGCCAGAAATTGCTGGTAGAACCAACGCCAATATAATATTGATTCTCTCTCGTCCAAGAAGAGTTTCCTGTCACGAATTTCATATGCCGCAAACTCTATCTGTATCTGTTGTCTGAGGATAAGAGAATGCGGTCATGTTCTTCTGTGTTTTTTTTTTTTTTAATTGAAAGAATATTTTTTCAGTCATTATGAAATTTACTCTCATACAATAACCGCAGGTGATGATATTTACCACTTTATTAGTATTGGTGTTACCCGACTTAGGATTCATTTTCTCTGCTGTTATGCATTTTAATATATTAATGTTGGACAACTTGTGGAGGAGGTTAGCTCTGGTATGACGTAATGCTAGTTTCTATGAGAAGGACCCATGAACCCTAATGTTTTATTGCTTCGTGGAATGATTGAAGTTAGTGAAGGTCATGCTACATCACTGGCAGGCCTTGCCAATTCTATTGATCTTGAGCCGATTTGTGCATTTCAATCCATATTTTGGACTTCATGAATCATGATTCAGACAGCAATGAGCTGAATCAGCACCCTTGGTTGTATTAATCCACTTGATGTTGAATTGTCTGCGATTCTGGTCATCTTGATATACAATCAGGATAAGTTTCTTTCCCATGGAACTTAATTGCATGAGTCTCTGTGGTTCAACCCAATGATTTGGTAAAATACTAAAGAGGGGAAAAGAAATATTAGTGGGAACGCTGAGAGGGATTTCAAGCTAAAATTTATAAAACTTCTCCTTGAGACACCGGTCACCAAGTTGTGGGGCTCAACTTCAAATTATTGATAGCAACGTTCGGAAGTCATGCTACTATAACATAAGAAGGTTTTCAGCTTTATCTATCATCCCTCTCATCTCTTTTTTCTGTTGTTTTTATTTATATAATGCTTTCAACCTTCAGCCTCCTGTTAATAAAAAGTATCTAATGCTATTTCCATGCATGTTGACGGAGGACCAATAGGACTTGTCTGTCATATTTCCTTGTTAATGTCGGGAAAACGATTTAGTAACATTCTAAAATTACATATTCTGTTGAACTTAGGTTTTAGAAATTAAACGTGTATTTATTTATTATGTATTATTAATCCTTTTTCCCAAAATTTCCAGCTAGCAGCAAAGTTCCGTAATACCGGACAAACATGCGTCTGTGCAAACAGAATATTGGTACAAGACGGTGAGGAATTTCTGTCCATTTTTTGCGTAATTGTTAACACTGATGTTTTGATTACATAATTGTGCACCATAGATAGTTTAGTACTAGAGTTATAATTGTGCGTCATAGATTCTTTAATACTATATAGAACTACATTCTTGGACATTCTTTGGTTGTCAAATATATAGATTGGTTAGTGCTTCGTTTTTTATGTATTTAATCAATTGGTCATTGTTTGGGATCAATTGGCTAATTGTGTGATAATAAGCAATCTATTGGCACAAATGTTGAAGAAAAGCCTCATTGCAAGTCCAAATCTGTCGTATAAGAACTGATTTAACTAAATGACTTTGAAATTGCCCAAAGAAGTTATACTTTTCTCTTCTGTCAAGGCTTGATTATTGTTCTTTCCAAGACTTAAGGCATGCATTGTCGTAATACGTATTAAAATCATGTACCTGACATCTAGGATGGATAGATATAAGCTGCATAGGATAGAGCCATTTGAAGCCAATGTGTCATGACAGAAGGAATGATGTTGGGTATATTTTGGGTAAGGTCGCAAGGACTGGATGTCTGTTGTGTTATTACTGTATGGGTCAATTCCTAGCAGAATGATTTGTACGTCTACATTCTTTTTAATTCCTCCCTATTCTGCTTCCTATTTTGATGTTTAGCTTTTGTGTAGGTATTTATGAGAAATTTGCGGATGCTTTCGCTAAGGCTGTCAAAAATATGCAAGTTGGCAATGGGTTGACAGAGGGCGCAGTCCAGGTTCTTTTTCCCACTCGGGCTTTGATTTTTTCTTGCTGTGAACGATTCCCTGTTTTCTGTTTACTTTTGCTCTCTCCTAAACTATTGAGTAGAAGCTTTCTGTAAACTATCTTGTTGTGAAAGACAGCTTGAAGAACCCATGGGCTAACGAGGATAGAAAATTGAATTTTCAATTAAGGCAATCTGATCAAATTAGGAAAGCGGAAAAATGAAACCTCCCATAGAATCACTGGGACCTTCGTCCATCTAAAGTTTTACCAATGTGAAGACTATTGTGGTCCAGATTTAGAGAGGGATATGGAGGGTATGCTCTGATTGAGTGAAAAGATGGGTTGTTAAAGTTAGGGATGCATGGCGTCATCTGGATGGCTAGGTTTCCCGCTTAGGAATAAGGTGAGTCAAGTGGAATCAGAAGTGATGTTAGGAGATGATCTAGCCTTATTGACTTACTGGAAGTATCTCATTAACTTGATGTAATTCAACTTCAGTAATCCTCACTATTAGTAGAGGAGGGTGTATAGGTACTACTTTTACCCAGAAAAAGAAGATATTAGTTATTTTTAGGTTTTAAAAAGGATAAATGCCGGAAAATATTCAAATGCCACTAAAGAGGAATTGCAGTTTTTACCATGTAATAAACCATGTGTATGGTGATTATGAAGAACGGGATATTATTGGACGTGAGTGTTCGCTTTTGGAGCTTTGGAGATTTCGGAAGTCCTCTGATAGTTGGTGCAGTATTTTACCGCATCTCTTGGCAGACGTCATCATTTGTTGAAGGCAACAAGCGATTTGATAATGACTCATATCCTCAAACAATCGCAGGAAGTCCCCTTACAGATGTATCCGGGTAGAACGACGCCCTGATACTTCTGTGGATGGGGAAGGTTTATTCGGGAGAACGGAGATCAGATGGAGAAAGTAACATGTAATCTGAGATCTAAAAATTTCAAGCTGGAGTTACTATGTACTTCACCACCATTTTACAGCTCCCCGCGTATGAAGGCTAAGATAACTGAAACAAATAGTTTCAAAAATATAAATTCTCGTGATTTGTATCCAAACGTCAGTCATTTTTGAATTTAATAAAAAATTTGGATTATATGGAATCGTGAAGCATAATTTTTCGAGTTGATTCAACTCTTCCAATAAAATGTGTATGAGTAAAGGGATCCATGGATAAATATAAAAAGTTTATTTCTAATCGTAACATGCAGGGTGAGTGGTGGACGCTGTAATTGCTTCAAATTTTTGTTGGAAAGGAATACCGAGATAAATGAGGTTGGTGGAGAGTGTCAAAAGAAATTTTCTTCATGTGGTATATTCATAAACACGTTTCAGGTTAGAGCTGTACAGGACAAAATGAATAAATGAAGACGACCTTTAAAATCTCATTCAATCCCTCATCAGAAGAGACTGCCTTAAAATTCTTGTTCTTTGATATTGTTGTTTCTTGATTATTTGTGTTTTCATCTTTACTCTGTCATGGTCTTCGTTTGGTCCATTTTATCTTAGCATTGATTTCGTAATCGTATTGATCTGTATTTTTATGATAGTCCGGATCGATTATCTGAGCTTGTTTCTCACCTTTTTACAGGGTCCTCTGATCAATGAAGCTGCTGTTCAGAAGGTTATTTTCATTCCATAAATTACCCCAATCTGAGTCAAACTTATGATAATGATCAATATTGATGGCATCATTTGAGTTAAATGATATATTTTCCACTTCATTGTCGTCATTTCAGAAATTATTAAGAAATGCATTTGTCTGATTATTATGGGACGATGATTTGGGAGAAAAGTTTAGATCTTGAGGGCACGTCCGTTTCCAGGGATCATTTGACCCAATGTCCGGCTAGCCACTGATAAAAAGATAATACTTGTACAATGCCTGAATGGCAATGTTATCACATGGTTAGCCAAAGATTTTAAGGCATCATCTAGGGATTTATAAGGCATCATGATGATTCGGTGAATATGTGTAGAAAATGTTTCCTTTCTTGATGCTTGTGCCTAGGTGGTGTGTCAACATAAAATGTTTAAAAGGGAAATAAAATCTGTATTTTTTCAAAATTGCAATCGTATATTTCATTGTTAAGTTCCAAATATGAGATTGTATGGGAAATGGACATAAATAAACAAATGGTGGGCGAAATCACTGCAACTTTCTTTCCATGGTTTAATAGTGAGCGCACTATATTTTCTGCACATTTTCTGGGGGCTTTTTTTTTATAGATGGTTATTGATGTTTACTTCTGATTTATTTTATTTTATTTTATTTCTGTAGGTTGAATCATTTATTAAGGATGCCACCTCAAAGGTATTTCCCTATGGTTTTCGGAAATAGAAGTTTTTTGTGTGAGAACTGTGGACTAATATTTGCTTTATATTGCCGGTGAAGGTTGATGGTTATTTATAAATAATCACGATTCTTATTTCAGATATCTCTTTGTGATAAACAAGGTACAGAAAAGGATGACTGGTTTAGATGAGTAGTAACTTAATATTCAATCAAAAAACTACCGACGTGAGAAAAAGGGTCACATTCATAATAGCACTGGGAGGTATATGGATAATATCAGAAAATCAGAAAATTTAACAGAGTTAAGGTGATCTGACTCGTTTTGTACAACTCTGAACTATTCTCTCTCTATCTCTCTCTGTCTCTGTGTCTACATTTATGTAGTGATGTATTGCTTGATTTTCTATCTTCTATCTTCCTCTACCCTTTTCTGTGAGTCTCACCTGTTTGCGAGAACAGGTGTGCTCCATGCTTGACTATCACCTTTTGCCCAGCAGTCCTTTGGAGGACAATATTTAGATCATTCTTTCATTCCGTTCTTTTTTTTATTAGAAGATCTGCAATCAAGTTTCTTCAAACCAACAGGCTATCCTGATCTCTGTTATTTGCTATATTATCATTCACTCAAATGCTTAAGATATTAGATTTTTTTTAAAAAATTCACTTGTTATGCATTCATAAAACACCTGGACTGTTTTACAGACTTTTGCATCCACAGACTGGTTCAGATTGCAGACTTAACAGCACTTAAAAAGATCAAGTCACCTTTTACGACATAAGATGTTCTGGGTATAGCAGGGGTATTGCATTAATCATCAATGAGCTTATTGGCGATAATGGACACCTTCATATTCTTTTTCTCCTTGTTTGCCCAGCTACTACCTTCGTTCAAAGGTTTGTTTACAGGGAATACTTTGTCCACATGTTCTTGGTTCTGTGGAAATTGTCCTTATCATCGTACACTAATCTTCTGGCTTTCATCTTAAGTGCTAAAGAAATCTTTAGTCATGAGATGTTTGCTATTCAGCCTTGTCTGTGTGGTTTCTTTCACCGTCTCGGGCCAAGAATGCTGGACCTCATTTATCTTGCTCTGATTTTAGGGCTTTGGTATACTGTGGTAACATGAATTCGTCGTAGTTTACTCAAGGCAACAACTTCAGTGTTGTCCTAGATATTGTAGTTTTTCCCGGAAATCATTACCCTTGGCCATTACTTGGCTTTCGAGATATAGAATCTGGGCGGTGACTGTCCACTAAGAAGCCTTATGGCACGGGCTCTAAAATGGATGAGGGTTCACTTAAAATGATAACCTGAGAGACACCAATTAAATACTGGAATCTAATTTCTTCTAGATATTCCCGTATACCTCTGGTATCCAGTTTTAGACTGTAAATCCTAAATAGGACAATGAAGTAAACACTAGTTATAACTATATACAGTGTTCTTGTCTATATATCTTTCTGACAATGTTGAGATATTTTATTAGCTATGCAGCATGTTTCAATGCATTTTCTTTCTATTATCTTATCTATGTGGTTTCATTAAGGACATAACAAATTCAGGGGGCAAAAATTATGCTTGGTGGGAGACGACATAGCCTAGGGATGACGTTTTATGAGCCTACTATCCTCACCCATGTGAATGAAGAGATGCTTATTTCCAGGTATGCCAGGTTCCTAAGCATCATTTTCGTCTTCATGCAGTTATACAGCTGCCGGATTTGTAAAAATTTATAGATGACCATGTTCATGGCATTACTTCAATCCTTTTCTACATTCCAAATTTAAACATCATGTCTCTAGTATTCCAATGCTGAGCAGATCTCTGTATTCTTCCCGTTGCTTGAATGTTGGCATGCCGTCATCAAACTTAATTGGGCTCTAATGTCTTTTCTTATTTTTCTGAAACTTTCAATATAAACATTTTCTTGGAACTCTTACATGTGCTATTGGAGGCTTGATATCGGTAGATCAACTCCAGCTTGTTTGCCTAGTACCATATACAGAAGTGATGACAATGTGAAACGCTTCATCTCATTTTTTAATTTTTTATTTGTTATTTGGATAACTGATGGATGAGAGTAGAGTAAAATACCTCTTATGATCCTTTTTTCCAGCATTCTCCAAATCGTACGGATCTCCACACAAATTCTCATAATGGATTGAACCCTATAGCATACCTGGGTAAAAGCATCGATCAAAAGCTGTTCTTAGTAGCCTTACTGAATAGTTGCGGGGGGGGGCGCTTTATTAATTGGAGACAGTAAACTGGAAGTTGATCCATGGGAAGAACACAACTTAGGTATAAGGTAATAAAGGAAGAAACACAACTTAAGTATAAGGTAACAAAGGAAGAAACACAGCTTAGGGTAAAAACATAATCACTTATCAAATAGAAATTTGAAATATTCGTTGATGATATCCCCTGTTCAACTTGTCTGTTGGCTGGCCAAAGCCAACGGTGGGTCCTCCATTTAAATTTCTCTTCCGCTAGCACAGCTACTGTCCATCAGGTAGATTAACAGCTGTGGCATTCGAGAGGGGATGCTCCGGAAATGGGTCCAGCATCTCTATGGATTGACCTGGGGCACACACATAGCTTTATTTTCTCTATTTAAGCACCTCCATTTTTCCATCCTTATAATGAGAACCAATTCAAGTTTCCTTCTTATTAAGATGATGAACATTTTTGTCAAATGGTCTCTGGGCATAGTATGTTATAATCCCACTATTGTTATTTTCATGTCAAAAGGGAAGAGGTTTTTGGACCCGTTGCACCACTTCTACGATTTAGGACTGAGGAGGAAGCAATTCACATGGCCAATGACACAAATGCTGGTTAGTTTGAATTTTTATGCATTAAGTTCTATCAGAAATGGAAATTTATTTCATTTTCCCGATTTACCTTATTGCTCTCACACTGTTTTTCTCAATGGGCAGGCATAGGATATATCTCTTGTTAGTCGTTTAATAAAAAAATTCCTATTTATGTTTTCTTGGACAATGAATTCCTGAGCCTCACAATTTTATCAGAAATGGAAATATATTTTATGAACCAAAAAACTTATTTCCATGATATATCCTATTTCTTCTCACACTGAATTTTTCTCAGCTTGGAAAATCATACAATTTGTTTCCAATTAATCTTTTCGTGAGAAAGTAAATCCGTGGAGCTCTTCTCATGTCATTGGTTATGTGAAGAGAGAATTATCCTTGTGCATACAAATTTCTCTGAGATTTTATTTTATTACATAAAAATAAAAATTTTCCTCATTCATGTTATTTTCTCTCACACTGAATTATTCCCATTTTGGGTTGGTTAAGGATTCATATTGTTTCTCCTTTGGCTTATATTTTCCATTTAATGTTTTCTTGGACGAACAAATTCCTGGAGCTGTAAGAGGCATAATTTCTCTGCCCTCTTCTCTCCCTGGGTTTAGGATTGGCTGCTTACATCTTCACCTCCAGCATCCCCCGTTCTTGGCGGGTCTCTGAAGCTCTTGAATATGGGCTGGTAGGGATCAACGAAGGCATAATTTCCACAGAGGTAATCCCCATCAATACTTTCATATATATTTCGATGTATATACTGTGTGGATGATTAATTGATATGAATGAAATATTATGTTTAAATTCATGCAGGTTGCCCCTTTTGGAGGGGTTAAGCAGTCTGGTCTTGGGCGTGAAGGCTCCAAATATGGCATGGATGAGTACCTGGAGGTAGGCACTGATCATATTTCCTTGCATAATTTCTATGGTCTGTCTGAGATTCATTTGAAATTATCTGTTCATGCAGACTAAGTACGTGTGCTTGGGGAATATCAAAGATGAATAGGCGGGGCCCACACCCATGGTATATATACTCTTCACCAGTGGCGTTGATATTATAAGTTCTAATGATATCTATTTTTTGTTATGAAGTGGATCTTTCATGCATTAAACTTTATATGCCTATGATTGGGTGAGGGTTGCGAGTGGGCCAGGCCTTGGCCTTTTGATGACCAGAAAATACAAAAGCCCGGCCCAATCTGGGAGAGACCTGGGCCAGCCCAGATGAGTGCCGGGCTGGGCATTTTCAAGCTTGATTTTAAGCTCGCGACCCTTCTCTCTCTGTCTCTGTCTCTAGTGCCGGGCTGGGCTTATTTCTGTAAGATGCTAAGTTTATCATATTTCTTTGGCAAGGATAAGACCAGGCATACGAAACATAGATTGCTATTTTTGTCATCTCGTTGAACCCAAGCAACCTGCATTGCTTTTAGCCATGGTTCAAGCTTTCCTGAAAGGAATGAAGCAAGACAACCAGGACTTCATACCAGTCAGCTTGAACCCATTTGACTCCAAACTAGTTGTCTCATGATCCCCCATGAGGCAGGCAATCTCTCTCTCTCTCTCTCTCTCTCTCTCTCTCTCTCTCTCTCTCTCTCTCTCTCTCTGTTGAGGTTCATGGATAATCATTGTAATGTGGGTTTATCTTTTCTCTCGTCCAGGCTAGCCCACCGGGTGAAACAGCTAGAAGCCCTGCTTTTCATGAAAGGCAACCAGACTTCCTGAAGAGAAGTGAGAAGCCAAACGCCCTCCTTTCTGGCCAATTTCTGTATAAAATAAACAGACTTTCTGTTCGGGTCGGGCACGTTTTTGAGGCATGTTCTTTGAGAGTGATGTTCATGTGAATTTTACTTTGAACAGTAAATTAGAATTATGTTCTAAGTTCTATAACTGGAATCAGACAAGATGGGTCGTCTCGAGGGTGGGTCATCGGGCTTGGCCCAGGCTTCGCTAGGGTCTCGTGAAAAGCCCGGAGGCTCCATATAGCTTAGATCAGGCCCAGGTGTCTACTTTATGGGCTTCTCCTTCCATGACACTGAGCCTGGAGCCCATTTTGATACCACGTGGTCGTCCCGTGATCTCTCTCTCTCCCTCTCTCTCTCTCTCTCTCTCTCACTCATGTGGATAGAACTGAGCCACACAGTGGGCCAGGCCCTTGTCTTAGCCCGAGCCCAGTGCCAGCCTTGTGTGCAAAGATGGAAATTTCTAGAAATGATATCAGACCAAATTGGGTAGAGCTTGGGCCTCTAAGCTGCTTACAGGCCAGGAGCACCCGGAGGGGGGGAGTCCAAATGGCCTCGGACTCTGAGACAAACTCGAATAGTGGACTTTGAGCCAGAGCGCAATGAAGACGAGGCATCTTTGCATGTGGGGCCCAGCTGAGAGAAGAGCCCAAAAGCCCATCAGGGCAACAAGGAGGTGGAGCCCACCAGCCACTTCAAGGGCCTATGAATCGTTGTGGGGGTAGGGAGTGGATTTCTTATTGGGCCTCATCATAGGGGGGCCAGCTTTAGTTGAACCGTAGTGCCATGGGGATCAGATAAGCCTACTTACGTTGCTCCCTCATACTTGCTTTGGCCATCCCTCAGCCAACAATGAGTAGCCCCACTCTAAAGATAAATGCATCAAGAATTCAAAAGGGATATGTACTTCCAACTCTCAGGGTTGTACACTGTAAGTCAAACCTTCTCCCATCACCTAACAATGTTCCCCTTTTTATATAGGATGTTCTTCACATCATTTGACTCACATTACTATGCAAGTTATTTTTGGAGGGGTGCTCATCTTTCTGCTGGTTATATAACTCATCAAAAATTGCATAGAATAGAGTCTTTAATCCACAAGACTGAAGTTAAGCTTTGAATCTGCAAGACACGATTTTCCATGATCTTTGAATCCACAATGATAACTTCAACAATTTTTGAATCATCAAGGATTGATCCTAGAACGGATAAAAATAAAGAAATATCTTGAAACCATAAGGTTACTTGAATGCACAACCATGAGAGAAAACTATCAAAAAGATGGAATTTGTAATAATCAGGGTGTCTCTAGAGTTATGAAATGATAGCTAATAATCAGTTCAATTCAGTTGTCACTCTCCCAAAAAAACTGATATGTTATGAAAAAAATTAAAAAAACTTAGTAATACTATAATTACTCAACTAGCAACTCTAACATGTTATTCACACATTTTATTTGGTCACAATTTGACTTCAGGTCTTCTCATCTTTGTACCTTGCCCTTCAAGTTTCCAAAGTACCTAAATTACTAGTTTTTTGTCATCTAGATCAAAAACCTTTTGCTATGCTCTTTTTTTTTTTAAGTGATGTTCTACATAATTATAGTGGCAATCATTCTAATAGACCATTAATTTTGAGTCACCTAGGTCAAAAACATTTTGGCATTCACTTTTTGAAAATGATGTCTACACCATTACAGTGATTATCACTTTAACTGCCCACTATGAAGAAACATATATCTTCTTAGTGGCTTTTCCTGCCACTCCACGCCTATGTCCCTTGCCTCATGTTGTGTGCTGGAGTTGTAGAGATTGATCTCCTCTTTGGCCTTATTGGGCTTTAACATGCTCTTTGACAACTGTGGTTTCAACTCTAGAAGGAAGCAAGATTTATGTGCTATAGTAGATGTAGGAGGTTTATCAAACCATGTAAGTTTGTTGTGTTTCTTGGTCTTGCCATTCTCTATTCTTTCTCTCTTGTGTGTCATTTTACATCAGACTTCCCCTACACAACAAGGGGGAGATGAGAATACTTCAATCCTTAACATTGTGTTTTGTTGCCCACATAGTGCTTCTACAAGCTGCATCATATTACACAATGGCTCATGCTTCTATATGCATAATGCTTGTACTTTGTCATGCTACACCATGTCACCTCTTGTCAATAGCTTATACGATATATTAGATGCTCTCTTCAGTCTCTTCTACTTGGGTTATACATGCATGCTTGTGAGTCTTGCATGATTGTTATATGAGACTGCACTTTGTATGCATTTTTTTCACACATATGCTGCATGCTGATGCATGTGTGTCTACTTTTTGGCCAATGCACACACGTTGTACATGCATGCATGTTTTTGATGAGCTACACTAAGACGTAATTACCAATGTTAAACCTTAGTTCACATTGATGATGATCATTAAATTTCTTTATCTAATATGACATATACACAAACTTATATAGTTGGTAGTACGTTGACATGATCTACTTTGTTTGCTTAGGTGGGGTGAGTAATTTTTATCCCATCCCTAACATAAATGACAATTGAATTATTAATAAGTCTTCATTATCATATGTTAATAATTAATTAATAATATAGTTAAGCCTTAGATTATGATAAATAAACTTATATTATATTAAATTATAAAAATTAATTTTTAGTTAGTTAATACAATTTTTTAGTAATTATGTGATTTTATGTAAATTTATTTAAATTTTATAATTTTCTTTTTGAGATAAATAAAGAGAAATAAAATAAAATAAAAAATATAAAAACATTACCTATTGGGTAGCTAGGCTTGCAAGTAGGTCAGGAGCATAGTAAGATAGAGCCACGAATAATGGGCTCAATGACTATGGGTTGGGAGGACATGTGTACATCACTCTCTTTTTATATCATCGATGGCTAGTTAGGCATGAGATAACAACTAGTTGTACACACATTAGAGAGAGATCAATGATGACAAAATCTCATATTACTATATACATCTCAAAACTTAATAAATAACTGATGTGGGACTAAATTAGTGTCATAACTTTTCAAAAGGTTTTAATAATTTTATATCTGAAATACTCATTATTTATGAGAAAGAGATACCCTTATGATGTCACTGTATAAGGTATTCACATACTTATTTCACTCATATAAGTGAGTGACCAACAAGAGTTAAAATCTTACTATAGCTAAAACTCATATTTTTATCTAATTTAATTATAATTTTTTTATAAAGTGTCAATCAATGATTAAGCTATCCTAATTACTTAGTGATTGGCAAAAATATTTTCAATGTAATTTACAGAACATCATTACCCCAAATTGTCAAATAATTTTAAGTAAAATGATCAAGAATACATCAAGTAAATTATCTCCAATTGATCGACAAATAAATATTTGTTGAGAAAAGGATAATCCGTTGAGAGACAAGTCATCACTTCTTTAGAGTATACTAGATACAATCAAGAGTCTTTTCTTACTGTGCAGACCTAAAGATGAAGTTTCTTAAGATACACCTCACCTTCATCCAACTTATCTCCATTCGGTGATAATTGTTGAAGATCTACAAAGTTGTCATTTTTTCACTTTACTAGGTGACAATCATCAGAAATGATTCATCAACCTACCTCATCGATTTTTAGACTTCACAAGAAGATTTAAAGATTGCTTATATCATCCATGTCTAAGGAAATCCTTTGAGGTTGTAAGCATTATATGATAGTCTCTCCAAACACCCAAAGTTTTGACACATTATCGTCATGATTTTGAAACTTTCTTTTATTATTTTTAATTAATTAAAATTTTACCATCATTTTTTGAACTTTCAAAAGGAATTTAAAAAATGCCCAAGTTGTCTATGTCCAAGAAAAACCCTTGAGGTCATAGATCATTTGATAATCCTTCTAAAGACACAAAATTCTAATGATCATTGTTGCGAGGTCATAACTCTTTTTCCTACTTTTAATTTAATTTTTATTTAATTTAGTGATGCTTTGTATGATTTTAAGTTTTGAAACTCTTCTTCATTTAATTATGATAATTTTAACTTTTATAGATATTAATTTGATCAATTAAATCATATGTAATCACTTATGTAAAATAAATCACCGGATATAACTTTATTTCTACTTGAATCACGTTCATTGGGGCCATAATATCATCTTGATGTTTACACCCTTATTTTCCTTTTTCATGAATTTTTAAATATATTTTCTATTCATCATTTAGTCTAAAAATCATAAGAACTCGTATTCTTTTAAGAAAATTCTGAAA